TTGTCGACACCCACCCACCCACCCTCATTCCGCCCCCAGTAGAAAATATCACATTGCCTACTTTTCTATTCATTTGTCAGACTGAAGATCTGCTAAATGAGATCAGGCAGCTTAAAGAAGATCTGAAGAAAAAAGATGAAACAATCAAACGATTAGAGAGCCAGCTTGTAAGTATAAGTGTATATTTTGCTAATTGTGACATTTTAATGAGTGTGTACAGAGCATATATTTGTATTATAATTCTCCTGAAGACTTTTAAGAGGGCTAGATTTTTTTACTTTGACATTTATACTTTTAGAAATACAAAGATGTTCTTGATTATTTATGGTTTTGTTGCAAGATGAAGGATAAACAGGATGGTAATGAGTGAATACCCTGATTAATAACACACAGCTTAAATAATTTTATAAATAATTGCTCAAGTAACTGTTAAATCATATTCAACTAATATTGGAATTGAAAAGTGACTTTCCTAAATAACAAGAGGATTTATTAATGCATAATTGAACATCCAGAAAGTGAATATAACTGTAACCATTCTCTGAGGCTTCTTTAAAGCGGGTGTACCAGTAAAACAAAAAAATTGCTTTTCCTAGATAGATGTGCTAAAGTGCCTATTAAGACATTTTTAATTTTAAGCTATCAAAGCAATTAGTCGCTCCTAAGTAGACAGTAAATACAGACTTGTTCATGATTATAAAAAAAGACTTCCCCAGTTCAGTAAATTTATTGTTGAGAGGGGGGATGATTTAAAATGCTGTCCTAGCCTAATTTTGGGTTTTGCCGTGCAACAAATTTGCCAGGTTATAGAAAATTATCTTGTTCTATATAGTCCTGATTGTGGGGGTTCGGGACCTTCCTATGTGTTTGGATGCTATTTTCTTAAATTAATAGGTAAATAATCTGCTATTTGATCTACTGATGAGCCTGGTTGATTTAACACTTTTGACCTGTGCAGCTATACTTTAATAGGGGGTGGGAAGACTTTCAAGAGAGGATGAAAACTTGACTTGAGAGCATGTTTTGAAGTCACTTCTGTAATATGAGTAGAAAGTGAGTGTCCCTTTGTCCATTCTTCACATCATCCATGCTCATTCAGTCAAACACTTGTCTTCACTAAATATAGTGAGGGAAATTTTGCATTAAACGCCACTTTCAGCTTTTGTTTTTATAAGTAAAAATCAATTTTCACTAACAGTGTTAGTTCAGAGCAAAGATGTGTTGAGGTTGACACTGGATGCCAAATTGTTATTTAATTTAAAACTTCATAGTTTTCAACATAAATCCTCTTCAGTACAAAATGCACAGCAGAAAGTGTTATATTCTCGCTTCATAGTTTTAATCGTGGGTGGAGATATTGAACTTACTTGGTGTATTATTACTGTCAACCATTGAAAGACTTTTACTTATCCCTGTCCTGTGTGTTTAAAAAAAACTCTAGCCGGGTACTGCTTCACCCTTAGGAAAAAAGATGAACAGAATTAAATATGGGGAAACAAAGATTTTAGATATGTTTTATAGAACCTTATAGAGTTTTATGGAGACTAACATTGTTAATATTTTAATTCTCATATAAATACAATTCCCTATCAAGATAAATGTAAAATAAGGAGTGAGCGAGTGAGTGTTTACAACACCATCATGTATTTCATATTGTTATATCTATAAACCATGTGTTTTCCCAAGCAAATTCTGATAAAATTTAGGCATTACTATTATGTAGTCTGTATGCTCCATATATTTCAGTGGAACTTCTTTAGAAATATTGGAGACAAAAAAGTGCATCAAAGCCTTTTGCAATTGTTTTGTATTGGTCTTATCCCTCCTACATGCAAATTCAAGCCTCTTAGCTAAAGTAAGTACAACATTTCAGGCTTCAGAGGAAGGAAAATTACTAACATTATAGAACCCTAACAAATATAGTAGCCCATTGTCTGTGAGTCTATAACTCTGACGTACACGGCCACCTCCTGGCCATGTATGTCAGCGCCCCGCCCCCCTTCCCCTCCCTCTGTGGCGGTTCGGCCAGCCCCACAGCCCCCCAGACACCTCCCCC